TGGGTTTAAGCCCCCCAGACCCACCGAGACCATCCTGCCCTCGGAGGGCATGAAGGCCAGGGCAGTTCAGGGCAGTTCAGGGTGAGTTCAGGGTCGGTTCAGGGTGGGTTTAGGGCAGTTCAGGACAGTTCAGGCTGGGTTTAGGCTGGGTTTAGGGTGGGTTTAGGCTGGGTTTAAGCCCCCCAGACCCACCGAGACCATCCTGCCCTCGGAGGGCATGAAGGCCAGGGCAGTTCCGGGCAGTTCAGGGTGAGTTCACGGTGCAGTTCAGGGCAGTTCAGGACAGTTCAGGCTGGGTTTAGGCTGGGTTTAGGCTGGGTTTAAGCCCCCCAAATCCCCCCCAGACCCACCGAGACCATCCTGCCCTCAGAGGGCATGAAGGCGGGGCGGCCGCTGAGGCGCAGCTTGGTCTGCAGCGTGTTGAAGTTGATCTCCAGCTGACACTTCTCCTGCACCTTGGGCGGTTTGTGCACGCGCCGGTACTCGCGGAAATCCTCCAGCTTCTGCTGCATGGCCGGGATCGTCTTCTGCGGATCCCGGGACTCCAACCACGGGATGGTGCGCTGGATCCACTCCAGGAGCTGCAACGGGATCGGGATTGGGATTGGGATCCCGGGACTCCAACCACGGGATGGTGCGCTGGATCCACGCCAGGAGCTGGGAATGGGAATGGGATTGGGAATGGGATTGGGATCCCGGGATTCCAACCAGGGGATGGTGCGCTGGATCCACTCCAGGAGCTGGAATGGGAATGGGATCGGGAATGGGATTGGGATCCCGGGATTCCAACCACGGGATGGTGCGCTGGATCCACTCCAGGAGCTGGGAATGGGAACAGGATTGGGATTGGGATTGGGATCCCGGGATTCCAACCACGGGATGGTGCGCTGGATCCACTCCAGGAGCTGGAATGGGAATGGGATCGGGATTGGGATTGGGATTGGGAATGGGATTGGGAATGGGATCCCGGGATTGGGAATGGGAATGGGATTGGGATTGGGATCCCGGGATTCCAACCAGGGGATGGTGCGCTGGATCCACTCCAGGAGCTGGAATGGGAATGGGATCGGGAATGGGATTGGGATCCCGGGACTCCAACCACGGGATGGTGCGCTGGATCCACTCCAGGAGCTGGGAATGGGAATGGGATTGGGATTGGGATCCCGGGATTCCAACCACGGGATGGTGCGCTGGATCCACTCCAGGAGCTGGGAATGGGAATGGGATAGGGATTGGGATCCCGGGATTCCAACCACGGGATGGTGCGCTGGATCCACGCCAGGAGCTGCAAATGGGAACGGGAACAGGATTGGGATTGGGATTGGGATCGGGATTGGGAATGGGATTGGGAATGGGAATGGGATCCCGGGATTCCAACCACGGGATGGTGCGCTGGATCCACGCCAGGAGCTGGGAATGGGAATGGGATTGGGATTGGGATTGGGATCCCGGGATTCCAACCACGGCATGGTGCGCTGGATCCACGCCAGGAGCTGCAACGGGATCGGGAATGGGATTGGGATTGGGATTGGGAATGGGAATGGGATCCCGGGATTCCAACCACGGGATGGTGCGCTGGATCCACGCCAGGAGCTGGGAATGGGAACGGGAACAGGATTGGGATTGGGAATGGGATTGGGAATGGGATTGGGATCCCGGGATTCCAACCACGGGATGGTGCGCTGGATCCACTCCAGGAGCTGGGAATGGGAATGGGATTGGGATTGGGATTGGGATTGGGATTGGGAATGGGATTGGGAATGGGATCCCGGGATTCCAACCACGGGATGGTGCGCTGGATCCACGCCAGGAGCTGGGATTGGGAATGGGATTGGGATTGGGAATGGGATTGGGAATGGGATTGGGATCCCGGGATTCCAACCACGGGATGGTGCGCTGGATCCACGCCAGGAGCTGGGAATGGGATTGGGATCAGGATTGGGAATGGGATTGGGATTGGGAATGGGATAGGGATGGGATAGGGATGGGATTGGGATGGGATTTGGGGGCTGGATCCACACCAGCAGCTGGAACAGGAACGGGAACGGGATTGGGAATGGGAACGGGATTGGGAATGGGAATGGGGGCTGGATCCACACCAAGAGCTGCAACGGGATCAGGATTGGATTGGGAAGAGTTTGGGATGGAGTTTGGGATTGGGTCAAGGCCAGGCACTCACAGAGCTCCTGGGGGGGATTTGGGTGGATTTGGGGTGGATTTTGGGGAATTTTGGGGTGGGATTTGGGGTGGATTTTGGGGTATTTTGGGGTGGGATTTGGGGTTTTTCCCCCCTCACATCTGAGGCCAGGCGCTCGTAGTCCTCCATGAGCTGCTCGTTCTCCTGGTTCACGGCCAGAACTTTGCAGATCCGATTCGCCGCCGTCTCCGCCTGCGGGATCGGGATCGGGATCAGGGTCAGGATCGGGGTCGGGATCGGGATCAGGATCAGGGTTGGGATCAGGGTTGGGATCGGGATTGGGATCAGGGTCGGGATCAGGGTCGGGGTTGGGATTGGGATCAGGGTCGGGATCAGGAAATGGGGATCGGGATTGGGATCAGGGTCAGGATCAGGGTCGGGATCGGGATCAGGGTCGGGGTTGGGATTGGGATCAGGGTTGGGATCAGGGTTGGGATCGGGATTGGGATCAGGATCGGGATCAGGGTCGGGATCGGGATCAGGGTCGGGGTCGGGAAATGGGGGTCGGGGACACCCCCAGCCCCAGGGAAAGGGAGGAAAAAAGAAAAAAATAAATAAAAGAATAAAGGAATAAAGAAATAAAAGATTAAAGAAATAAAAGAATAAAAAAATAAAATAAAGAAATAAAAGAATAAAGCAATAAAAAATTAAAAGAATAAAGGAATAAAGGAATAAAAGAATAAAAGAAAAAAGGAATAAAATAAAGAAATAAAGGAATAAAGGAATAAAAGAATGGAATAAAGAAAGGGAATAAAGAAAAGGAAATAAAGGGAAATAAACAGAAAAAGGAAGATATAAAGGAATAAAGAAATAAAATAAAGGAATAAAAGAATAAAGGATTAAAGAACGGAATAAAGAAAGGAAATAAAGGAAGAAAATAAAGAAAAGGAATAAAGAAAGGAAATAAAGAAAGGGAAATAAAGAGAAAAAGGAAGAAATAAAGGGATAAAGGAAGATAATAAAAGGAAAAAGATCAGGGAATAAAGAAAGGAAGGAGGAAAGGGATCCAGGAAAGATCCCGAGGAGCAGAGCCAGACCCCAATTCCCATCCCAAGCCAAGCAGAGCAGCAGCCAGCCAGATCCCAGGTAGATCCCGAGCAGATCCCCAGCAGATCCCCACTCCCAGGCGGATCCCAGGCCAATCCCAGATCAATCCCAGGCAGATCCTGGGCAGATCCCGGCCAGATCCCAGCCAGATCCTGCTCCCAGGCAGATCCCGGCCAGATCCTGGCCAGATCTCGCTCCTGGGCAGATCCCGGGCAGATCCCAGGCAGATCCCGCTGCCAGATCCTGGCCAGATCCCAGGCAGATCCCGATCAAATCCCGATCAGATCCCGCTGCCAGGCGGATCCTGGCCAGATCCCGATCAGATCCCGATCAAACCCCGATCAGATCCCGCTGCCAGGCGGATCCCGGCCAGATCCCGATCAGATCCCGATCAGATCCTGCTCCCAGGCAGATCCCGGCCAGATCCCGGCCAGATCCTGCTCCCAGGCAGATCCTGGCCAGATCCCAATCAGATCCTGATCAGATCCCGCTGCCAGGCGGATCCCGGCCAGATCGCGATCAGATCCCGATCAGATCCCGCTGCCAGGCGGATCCCGGGCAGATCCCGATCAGATCGCGGGCAGATCCCGATCAGATCCCGATCAGATCCCGCTGCCAGGCGGATCCCCGGGGCCGGGCTCACCTTCTGGGCCCCGGAGAAGGCGTGGTAGAAGCAGGACACGTAGGTCATGATGGCTTTCTCGTCGGGCCGCAGCGTGCCCACGA